GCTCCGGCCCGGGCCGGGGCTGAGCCGCGCGGCGTCCTGTGCGTGCCCGCAGACTCGGGGGACCCGGACAAGGAGAGCCCGGGCTGCAAGCGGCGGCGCACCCGCACCAACTTCACGGGCTGGCAGCTGGAGGAGCTGGAGAAGGCGTTCAACGAGAGTCACTACCCCGACGTGTTCATGCGCGAGGCGCTGGCGCTGCGCCTAGATCTGGTCGAGTCCCGAGTTCAGGTAAAGACCCGCCGTGCGTCCCGGGAGCCAGCATCCCGCCATCAGCCTGCGCGGCCCGGCTCGCCTTTGTTCTCGAGTTCTAGGTGGGAGACCGCATCCTCCGTCAGAGCCGCCGCGCGCTAGCCCGCCGGACGGTGGGGGGTCTGGGGCTCGGCGCCCCATGGAGACAGCTTGGGAGGGGCCGGTGGCGGCCCCTGAAGTAAGGAGAACAGCCGCTGCGTCCGAACCGGGGAGCTGCTTGGGGGATCCGGGCGACCGCACGAAACTAGGCTGGGGCGGGCGAGGCGGCGGGGAGGAAGCAGCCGGGCTCGGACTTGGAGGAGACTGGGGGACGGCAGATCCCGCGCCTCCGTGTCCTGGCTAAGGGCTCGGCTCGCCAGACTGCAGCGAGCCAGCGCGCGCTGGTTTGTTTACTTTCACCTCTGAAATAGTCGCATGGAAACATGTATTTTTTTCATCACTTTTCAGAAGGGGCAGCTGAGGAAGGGGAGGCGGAAACTTGAACAATTAACACATTGCGGGAATAAGAGGTGTCTGAATGTTTAACACCACCGGTTGTATCTCTCCCCAGTAATCTGATTTTATTCGGAGACTGCCAGCGGTATTCTTCTTAAAAATACAGTGTCAGTCTTGTGGATTAAAAATTCAAGATGATCCTGCATAATTAGATATTTCCCCAAAGTACAGATATCTTTTTCTGGGTCCAAGTGGTGGTGAGCGGGGTGTGGGCCGCAGCTGTGGGCACTGGGCTTGGAGGCAGAGGCTGGCAAGTTGCCTGTTTAGCATCAACAGCTTTGTCTAAAAAGGTGTTCTCTCCTGTGCTTGGGCCACCCCACATGACCTCTTCTGTTTGTAAATCCTTTTATCCAATTTGTCCTAAGTGTCTTAAGTGAAGTCAAGACCTCTTCATTTCTCCTGTAATACGATAATGAGTAATTCCTGGTGACAAGGCAGCCTGGAATTTATGCAGAAAAAGTATTTAAAAAGAAGGAAAGGGCAGGGACAGTCTTGGGGAGGTTACCACTTAGCACCTGCACCTTGGCACCGCCAAGGCTACCCCGAGACGAGCGGGCCTGCTGTTGTGCTGGTCTCTACATGGCCACAACAAAGAATTTGAATTATGGTGATCTTTGCAAAAGGGCTCAGGGGGATCTGTGTCTGTGAGTGGTGGTGGAGCCAGTGTCTCGAGCTGCTGACACCCTGGAGTCCTTCAGGCTCCCAGGACAAGGCCTGCAGAGAGGGTGGAAGAGGCAGGATGGGCCCCGGCCTCTTCTCTACAAGGCCTGGCAGCTGGCCTCTTGCTTCTCTGCCTGTCGGTCTCCAGCCCAGGCCAAGCACAACTGGTTTGAGAGGGCTGTGTTGGTGCCCTGGCCGGGACTCTTCAGAAAGAAGGACGTGTGAATGTGTTGAGGCAGGGTTGGGGGGGGTGCGGAGAGCAGGCTGCTGAAGCATCTTCCCCCCCAAGTTTGGCTTCCCAGGCCCTTCTAGAAGAAAAAGCACCCAGATTTCCCTTCACGGGAACTCCCCAAAATCTGGCCTTTGACTCAAGTCTCCAGGGAGCTGAAGACAGGTGTGGAGGGCGGCTGAGCCCAGCGGCTCTTGGTCTGCAGGCCAGACGGTCAGCACCAGCCCGGCGGGCTGCTTAGAACACAAGCTGTGAGAAGCCAGGAGGGTCGAAGAGGGCTCCCTGCTCTGTGCCTCCCCACCAGGAACCCAACGCCCTCGGTCAGGGGCCAGACCCGCCCTGCCCAACGCAGGGGCAGCTTCCAGTTCCCTGAGGTGAGAAGCTGGAGCCGGAAGCTGGCCGAGAGGCCCCATCTACCTCCTCCTTCTGGGTGGAAAAGATACTCTTTGGAACCCGCAACCTGAGTGCCGAAATCCAGCCCAGGGCCGGCTGGGCCGTGTGCCTTCGCTCGCACCCCTCGGCCGGAGCCGAGATTGTGCAGGCCTATCTGGGGGGATTGGGGAGGCCCGAAGCCCCCACGGCAAATCCGCCGCCTTACCGTGCCTTCCTTTCCCCTATCCGGCTGCTTTAGGTGTGGTTCCAAAACCGCCGGGCCAAGTGGAGGAAGAAGGAGAACACGAAGAAGGGCCCGGGGCGGCCGGCGCACAATTCACACCCCACTACGTGCAGTGGCGAGCCAATGGACCCGGAGGAGATAGCGCGCAAGGAACTGGAAAAGATGGAGAAGAAGAAGCGCAAGCACGAGAAGAAGCTGCTTAAGAGCCAGAGCCGCCACCTGCACTCGCCCGGCGGCCTATCCCTGCACAGCGCGCCCAGCTCCGACAGCGACAGCGGCGGCGGCGGCCTGTCCCCGGAGCCTCCCGAG